AAATATTCTTAATTATATGGACAAACTTAATACAATGTAAGATGTGAGTGTCCCTACAATTTAATTTCAGTCTTATTTGTGCCATAAGCAAAGACAGAATTCCAAATACAGAAGAGTCTTCTTCTCTTTCCTTCCCTCCACAAAACACCAGAACAAGTCAGGGATATGGGAAGAAACAGCACAGGAAGATAAAAAACAGAGCACTATAAAATACAGCATAGTCACTGAATCTAAAATACATTTTCAACACATGTGATAATTTTTTAAAAAAATAATTAAAATATTGCACCAGTTAGAACAAAGGGTCTATAACATCTTAGAAGAGGCACACCAGCCTAAAAATCTGAAAAATATCTTGGGAGGAAACCCATGTTGATAATCATTATGTAAATCACTGTTGTAATTTCAACAAAAATCACAGCAGAAGAAAAAAAAAGTAAAGAATTTTAACTTGAGGTTTTTTAACCTTTGTTGCTTTCCTTTTCCTCTACTGCCTTTTTTTTTGTTAAAGTCATTAGCTTTCATAACATCAGTGAGTCACTGAGCAAGAGATGAGTCACTATTCAGCAAATCAATGGAATCTCTCTTGTAACATACATAAATATCAAATTCAGATGCAGAATCTGAACTTTAAAGTAACAACGATCAGGAAAGTTTGCCTTAGACACAGGTAGTGTGTAAGTCAAAAGAAAGACTAAGAATCACCCTAAGGGAGAAAAAAGCCTATTTAAGATGAGATGAAGAGTTTTAATGCAAGGATGTTGTGGGCGAATATTTCAAGATTTTACCCAGATGCTTTTTTGATGGAGCTAACTAGTCCTTCAATGCAGTGTTCTCCCAAGTGGGGTGCGTAAGACAATCCTTTGGGGTACAGAAAGAAAATACTATTTGTTTTGCTAATAAATCAATAAAATAATTAACAATAGTGTTTATTTCATCTTCATGCCATCCTTTTTCATTTCTGTTTTTATGTATGTTTTATAATGTACTTAATATATTAGTACAGTAGTACATATTTATAATTTATAAATAAATATATCTATATTAGGGGTGTGTGCTCAGAATTTTTTACTGATTGGGTGCCCAATCAAATGTTTTTCTGCTCCAAGAGACGCTCAACACTTCTTTGCAGAATCTTAGAGGAGAAAGAAATAGCTAACTCCGAGAGCTTTGAATACTCCAGGATACAGTCTTCTGATGATTTGGGATCCCTCTCCCACCATATTTTGAATGTTAAGGAATCCAAACTGTTTTCTTCAGTTAGGCATGTCATGGATCACAGGCTTTTCTTGCCTGTTCTCCTGTAAGCTATTATTTTTAAGCACTCCCCATGTGTTGCCTGATCTAGTCAAGAGGTGGTATCCCTCGTGGCAGGGAGGCTGGATTAAAATGATCTCTAAGGTCCCTTCCAGCCTAGGCCATGCTATGATTCTGTGATTAAGAACTACCCTAACCTCACTGTGAAAACACACTATTTCTGCAAAAGAGTGATCTCTAATGTGCCACTACACGTCCCAGGCAAAAACATGCAACAGTGATGGCAGACACTTCTGAAGAAAGCAAATGAAAGACAGATTATGCCTCATTGTTACTGCAATTGACACATACCACCAGGCAGTCACTTCATCTGGAGATGCTGAACGTGTGGGTAAAAGAGCAAGCCGTTCTTGGAACAGAACAGAGCATTTCAGTTGGAAGAGACTTCAAACGATGACGTAGTCCAACTGCCTGATCACTTCAGGGCTGATCAAAAGTTAAAGCATGTTATTAAGGACATTGTCCAAATGTTTCTTAAACACTGTCAGGTCTGGAGCATCGATAACCTCTCTAGAAAGCCTGTTGCAGTGTTTGACCATGCTTGCACTAGGTTAAACACATTCAACTGGTGATCAGGTGGTCTATTGCAGTTTCACTTCTCTAACTCGATTTGCCATCAGACATCAGCTGCAAAGTGAGATGTCCACTTCCCAGATGGGTGACCCTATTACAAAGAAATCCAATTAAGCTGAGAGACACAAAAATTGTTACTGTTTTGTGAATTGCACATGTGGTAAATTTTCAGCTTCACTATTTTCCAGACATTGGCATTCGTGAGATCCATGAAATAACTTTTATATAAATTGAAAATTGTGTTATTCATTGTAGTTTGGATACTCAAGCATGTGAGAAATAAAGAATACTCAAAATTATAGAACTATGAATTTTGAATAGCAGTCTGTACAACAAAAACTACTTCCAAGTTTCTCCAGTCTCCTATCTCCGTATTTATTTCATGCTTTATAGCAAACTGCCTTGTTAAATGTAAATATGGAAAATTTCCTCTGTAGGTAATTTAATTTATAACTGCAGGCCTTGTTGATCATTAGTGTTATCTGGTTTCCATGTCAGCAACAATAACACTGTATACTGCCAAAAAAGTCGGATCTTAGTTCCTCACCAGTACTTTGTTAGGGAGAGGCAGACCTAGACATAGACTCAGATTCTGTCCACATCCATTAAGAATATAGGTAAAACATTTTGACTTGCAGGCCTGTGAAGTATCATTCTGGAAACATCAACAAATACTTACTCAACAGAAGTCTAAAGCGGTAGAACTTGCTACTGTAACAACAACAGCCAGTGGAACAGAAAAGCATCATTAAAAAGAAAATATATAGTGTTTATTTATAATAGTTTCCATTACACAGCAAAGGATCCTAAATCAAATCTCAAAGTGTTTTACAAACAGTAACGTAGTATGCCTTGGGCAGAATTACAGTCCCAAACTTCCTTATACCTATATATACACATAAATATTCAAGAAGATTACAGCATACATTCACTACTTCAAAATGCTACTAATGGTAGGGCACCAAAACATTAAGATTTGGAATTACACAAAAATAATTTTAAAATGGCCGGACAATAAAAAGTAATTGGCCAAAACTCATGCCTCTTTACAGACACATTAGTGATACAACATGTTCTGCCACCAGGTCACCCTTGGTCAGGGGAAAAAAAAAAAGGAAAAAACAACTATGAAAGAATGATTAAAAGATGTTAATCATGACTGGTGTTGACCATGAGAAACCTGCTAGGAATATGCCTTCCCTTTCCTCTCCCCCATGTGGAACTATGAGCTCCTAACACAGTTAAAGAAGCATTCATCTGACAGGCACGCTACACTCACATCAATAACAATGTGAAATTATACCACTCTCTCCAACTATGCAGTGCAGTCCAGGTTCCTGACTGCAGTGCCTCACAAACTGCTATACAAGAACACACTGTCAAGATATGACAGAAACTGTTCCACAATTTGAGCCTTTACATAAGCAAAGCCAGCACATGAAGTCAAACCTCAAAGACCGATATCTTTAGAATAGCCTGATTGAATATAGCTCAGCTAAAAATTAACAGCAGGCTTGAACATTCAAAATTTCCAAGTACCAGATTAGGTTTAAATGAGCTCACACCTTCCGCCCTCCTCCCCCAGATAATCAAGGAGGCCAAAGATGTATAACATGAATTATTAGCTGTATCAGTAAGTTCAGAAAAGAACTTCAGAACAGGTATCTCTCAGAAGCTTACAATTGGGGAGGAAATAACGCTAAGAAAAACATTTTTTTTCTTCCTCTCAAATTTTTTTTTTCTTCCTCAACTCTCAAATTAGCATAAATAAAATGCAAGGGCTGTACTCCTGAGGATTTGCATACTTTCATAATATCCATTTCTAGCATTGGCAATAAAACAACCAAACACAAGACAGAGGGGAAGTTAAAACAAAAAAAAAAAAAGCTTTGTTTACAAGCAAGAAGTACTCTGAAAAGGCCCTTCTGGGAGGTGTCTCTATGAGACATTAGGTAGCGGGAACCAAAGTACCTCAAAGCCATCTTTACGTTCTTTCCATCCTGGATTGTTTCAAAGGCCACAGATGACTTCCATTTTACCTCAGGGGTCAGACACATATGAATTACTCCAGATATAAGGTAAAATAAATTATCCTGTATTTGTTATGAACAGAATGGAACATACAATTACTGCAGATGCATACTATAGCAGTCTTGTGATAATTTATCCCCACGTAGTGAGTCTTCCATGGATCAGGGCCCTTAAACATTGCCAGGAAGTGTTTCTGCAAAAGGACAGTACCTCCCTACCGATGAACAGGGCTGAGAGAATAAACTATGCAAGGATCATAAGACACTTGAACATTTATCATATTAGGAGTCACATATGCTATTAAAAAATTAAACCTTCTCTTGTTTTCGCATTTTGCCTTGGATTGAAGAAAGAGTGAGTAGCAAATGGTTTCGTCAGTTTTAATATTTTCAGGACTACCAGATGAACTTCTGCAATGTCTGAGCCCCTCGAAAAATAAAACAGAATCTCTACAAAGAGAATATTTCTTTATCCACTCCTGCTTAACATTTTAAAAGCAGTGTTCAAGAACAAGCTGCTTCCAATATTTTTAAGGGTAGTCTTAAAGTTGGAAGTAATAAAAGAACATTTTATAAAAATGTTAAAAATTTAAGCAAGTTTACTCTAAGCTATTTCAAACTTAAATAAAAAATTAATTTCAGAATTAGTCTGTCTTACATTACTGCAGTTTTCAGGGGAGCCATCTCTGACTGTAAGACTTCTCAGGGAAAAAAAAAAAAAAGCTAAAATACATCAATTTCCTTAAGTTTGTCTCATTTCCACAGGACCACTAATTCTTTGTATTCTTTGTAACATTTATAAAAATGTTAAAAATTTAAGCAAGTTTACTCTAAGCTATTTCAAACTTAAATAAAAAATTAATTTCAGAATTAGTCTGTCTTACATTACTGCAGTTTTCAGGGGAGCCATCTCTGACTATAAGACTTCCCGGGAAAAAAAAAAAAAAGCTAAAATACATCAATTTCCTTAAGTTTGTCTCATTTCCACAGGACCGCTAATTCTTTGTATTGTATAGTTAAATAAATTAAATAATTTAAGTAATACTGCTCTAACAACATTTCTCCATTATACTAACTTACAACTGGTCTTGCAGTTCCACAATGATATATTCCAGCTGTTCCTTCTCCATTTTATGGGCTAGATCCATATCTTCAATTCTTTGTAATAGCAGCTTATTCTGTGAGACAGATTCAGATAGCTGGTTTTCTCTGAGTCGTACCAATTCCTCAAGGTAACCCTGGAAATAAAGTGTTAGAAGGCTTTAAAACACACTCTATCAAAAAAATCTTTTCAGTACATACAATCACATTTTTCTAGTGTAAGATATATATGGTTGTACTTTGATTTTGTTGTAGTTTTTTTTGTGTGTTGTTTTTGTTTTTTAAACAGACTAGTAAATTGACTTAAGAAAAGTATGATGTTTCCTAACAGGTACCAAAAAACCCACGTACTCATTTATATTCCCGTGGACAAAGAGAATAATGGATGAAGCAATGAGACAGGAATGCCATCAGCAAGAAATGCTAATTCATTTTTTAAAAACAACATAGAGTAGTGACTAGTGCAAGAAAAAGATCAAAACTCTATGACTTAACAGATGCAGGATAACAGATATTGCATAGGAACAAGAGTAGAATGTATCTATATGGATATAAAAAAAATCCAATATTATTTTAAAGTTTGAAAACTGCAATACCACAGCACACATTAAAATTACAAAGATGGAAGTTACTGAAATAAATAATCATCTACAGGAAAGCATAAAGTAGGACAGCTGGTGAAGCTCCCTTCTATTAGTAACATGGGACATGTACAGCTGGAATGTACGTGTGCACTTATGTCATCAATTTTCCAGCTGACACTATAAAAGATACAGGACAGTACTAATCATACACAAAAAATCCACAATGTGAGTATTTAACAGTAGCTGTGATGGCATACTGGTCACCAATTATGTTCACAAATTACACATCTGGTTACAATACCAAGCAGCTATTTCTTCTTCTTCAAGCAGAGTTTCAGTATGTCAGATAGTAGTAACTTACCAATTCTTAGTTAAAGCTGGATACAATAGGTCTCTATGCATAAAATTTTGCACATTCTGTGTGTAACTCCTTCACAGGTACCCACATTATGAAAACTACCTTTTGTAATATTTTTTTTTAGATGCGGAACAAGTGTAGTCCTGTTAAGTAAGAAAATGGGTTTCATGCCAGCTAGTAGTAAAATGCTCAGTTCAGGGTTGGGGAGCGCCAGTATGAGAAACAGGATGTTGTTTCTGTAAATACTGCAAATACCTCTACCTATAATGACACAGATATGCATCATTCCACCAGTGAAAGCATGTAAAACTCCAGTACAAACAGTATACAAAGAATTTAGGAGTTCACTACACCGAAGTGAACAGTTTATACCGTTCCAAAATAGGGAAGGGATAACAACTTCCATGTAAGTGAAAAATGTGTAAACTATGACTCATTAACCTGGGTAAGAAACAACTTGGAAAAGACAAACTCATTATATTTCCAGAGTGGCCTGGAGAGGGCAGAAAGGAAGCAACTGTTCATAATTTTTTTAAAACATAAGAGCTAGGCACAGTGAAATTAAAGCTAGTAAGAGCCAGATTTGGAAGACAGAAAAGGAGGTGACTTTTCACACAACAGATGGTAGATAAGCAGAATGCTTTGCCGAAAAGCGGTTCGGATGCTAAAAATTTACATGAGGTCAAGGGGATATTTGACAAGTATTTGGGAGAAAGATCCATCATGGGTTACTAAACAGACAAATCTTATCAGCTTCAGGAAGTCCTTCAGCTGATATGCATTGGCCAAGAAAGTATTAGAGGAAAAACAGTGCATATACATTTCCTTTGTTTTTATTTTTCCCTCCACATATACTTTGGGCAAGTATCCAAGAGAGGATAGTAGGATAAACAAGGATTCTTGGTCTAAACCAACACAGCACCCTTGATTCAATAAAGCAATGCTAGGATCTGCCTTGCTAAAATAATATCTGACCCTATCCTACCATTTCAACAACTCAGAAGACACAGATATCTTTATCTTAGCTGCAATCCAATCACTTGTCATATTGTGACCCTGGTAAACATCATTCACCTGTGCAATTAATGACTTCAATACGCATACTTAGGAGGTGCAAAAGGAATTCATCATTGTTTGTGCAAAGTGAATGATAACAGACCAAAAGAAAGATCTATCAGACTCACTGTACCAGTTACTAAGTGTGTTATTTTCAACTTGGTCTTCTTGCCACAAGCATCCAGTTTTCCAGCAGGCAAAATGTCAGAAAGCCCCTTTGTTTGAAAGGGTACACCCTGTCTCTGATTAATCGGTAGCTACTGCACCGTGTGCAACTTGATTGTAGCTGCAACTTATTGCCATGAAAAGAAGTCCCGAAAAGAGGAGAGAAACAATCAGGAAAGGAGCTCTATCCACAGTCCATCTAACCTCTTGAGAGTCATTTGTTCAAGTTCTAACAGAACAGATGTAGTATAGTTGAGGTGAATTATGGAATTATTTGGCAAGCATATACCAAGCAAAAATTAGCAGAAAATAAAAAAGAAATTAAAGAAATAAAAAGGAATTATTCTGCTGCTGTAATTGTCAAGTAGGCATTCTAAAGGAGGACAATTATGGGAGCATCAATGGCTGTCATGGTAGCTATCATTCTGAAATTGTATTAAATGCACCAAAATTTTTATAGAGTTATAAAACTGACTTGAATTTACCCCTACGTTAATTAACTATAGAAGCTGGCAATTCATTAAGAGAATGTTACCAGGGATAATGTGTCTCGCTAAAATAGTAATGCTCAAAAAAATTGAAAACCTCAGTACCAGATCAGCAAGTAACTTACCACGGGATAGAAATGTTTTTGGATCTTAGACTCATGAATAAACCAAAGCCTCTCGTTGCTGCCTCAGCCACTGAATAGCTTTGTGCTTTTGCAAGCACAAACTTTCCCAGTGGCTCTGGGGAGTGGACTTGGACATCATGTTTTGATACTTTTTTCTACGGAACAACTTTCATGGAGTATCCTTGGAAACGAATGACCTGGATGCATCAAGAAAACAAACATTGACCTGTTTTGTTTTCTTCGATGCTTCTCCAGAGCTGACTACACTTTCCTTGTTAAACCTATGTTTTCGTCTGGACACAAGGATGAAATGCTGTCTTGAATACATTCTTACACTTCAAAGACTGTAAGAGTGTGAAGGGAAAGGTTTTCATTTTGTTTGTATTTTTGAAGAGATTCATTCTGAATGGCAGATTTTGGTTTTCAAAAGCACGGAAAATGTCCTCTGTATCAGAGATAGTCCCAAGGAATAACAAGTCCTTTCCAAGTGGAAAGTGATACCACATCAGCCGAGGAGATTGTACCAGCAACCTGGATGCCAACGTTTCGGGTCATATGTCAAAATAAAGAAGACTAACAGACTCAGAGTAGAAAAGAAATAATTGTATGCATATTTTTAAAAATACCCCTCACATCTGTCATCCCATAGTAAGTATGAATTTTTCACTGTTACTTAGAAAAACCTTAACTAGGCTTTCTCATATGCATTCACATAAAGCAATTTTGATTCTGCCTTTTCCATATTAAGACTGACATTTAGCAACCCATAGCAACATTTGCCCTAATGAACTGAACAAAGCCAGGACTGCTGCTCAGGTATATCCTCTCAGTCTGGCTATATCTGGCTATATCAAGTTCCAAGGGACCATGACTTAAGTTATACTGGTTATTTGGAATGATCACTGGCAAACCTCATTCACAAACCATGACCTGAAATAATTTTGGAGAGTGCTAGTTGTTCCACGCCAAAACCATGCCAAGAATCATTCTTAGAATTTAAATATGTAGGTGACAGAGTTGGTACCAGAACCTGGGTCATAGTGAACGTATTGAGTTCCAGCTGACAGAATTTCCATTTTAGATTCCATATGCCCTTGCTTTTTTTTTGTAATGGTTTTTCTTCTCAGTATGATAAAAACTAGAAAGATAGTAAGAATCTTGTGCTTCTAAGCTTCTAATGCCCTAAATTAAGGGAAATAATCACACCCTCAAGGACCCATACATAGATTCAGTCTTTCATACGATTTACTGTGTTCAGTGTTTCACCAAAATCATATATTCGAAAAATACCAAAATCATATTCGAAAAAAAGAAGACTAAAAATACTATCAATGTTCTTTAAAATCATAACCATTTGTTTTTCTTTTTTCTTCCCTTTAACTTTTTCTGACACCTCCTTTTTTTTTTCCTGTGCACTATTTCTTCAGTCTGTACGAACAGTCTTCCTCCACAATGTGCCACTAGCTAAGAGACATTGTTGTCTCTGGCATTGTAATATGCTGTTATGAAAAAGTGACAAGCACTTTGCTTTTAAAAATACTAAAACACTAAAAAGTTTGGACATGTATTTCAGTTCACCTTCAACTTACAGTAGTTTGGTTGGTAGAAGAGGAACCTACCTTTTTTTTTTTATAATAACATTTAATCTGCCACCTAGATTATTAACATTAAATACAAACACATGGTGGTTTCCTTTCCCATTCTAGCCTGAAGCAGGTATTTAAGCTACATATTTTTAAAAAACCCACCTCAGTATCACTGAGAAAATAGTTTTGCTTTTCATTCCTAAATGAATTACTTTGTTGATATTTTTAGATGTTTAAGAGACGGGTGGATGTTGCATTGAGCGGAATAGTTTAGTAGGTTGATAGGGCTGAGACAAAGGCTGGATTTGATGATCTTCTAGGTCTCTTCCAGCTGATACAGTTCTATGATTTGTTTCATCTAAGATCAAATGTTAAAAGTTTAACATTACTATCATTGTAAAAAGCCTTCATCTGGCAGGCTACAAACATCAGTAAGATTCTACAGCCTCGAAGGAAGAACAGAATCATGTGGACAGTTGTGTCTGCTTCAAGATCACAACCTAACGGCTTCAGAGACACACTGTGCCTGTAACTCTCAGGTTGGAAAAAGGAGCCAATGCTTCTACATTAGACTGTGAAATCTGATCTCAGAATTGTTATTACTACTACTATTATTACTATTACCTTCCCCAAAAAAACCTCTTTTCCCTCAAATCAGCGAGCAAAGATATTTAGAATCTCTGAAGATCATAAAATTTAAGACAACTTACATGAAGCTAAATAATATTTAATATATTTTTCTTCCTTCAGTTAAATGGATATGGCACCACTTGGTTGGTGATGAGCTTTGGTTCCATCACCCCCCCACAAAACTAATCTTTTACCTTCTGTTCCAATGCAAGCCGGTACTTCTGTTCTACCCTTTTGCATTTGTTGTACCAACTGTTTTCATCCGTGATGAAAAGAGGACCAATGTTCTCTGGAGTACTGCCTTCACTGCCACTACTGCCCAGTGTTCTTAGCTCTTCTTCATCACTGCTGATGCTGTCAGAACTGAAGGATCATATTTATTAGCCAAATGAAAACTCTGTTTGTTAAAATGCAAATTCCCCTTGAAATTAAAGCACCACAATTCTTAAAGTTATCCAAAGCTCTGTAAACCGAAAGAATTGAAATGTTGGGATAGGATAGATTACCAGTTATATTTCAAGGTTCTATTTGCATAGCCACCTAAATAATCGGCAAAAATTTGCTTGTGATCTTAGTCAAGTTGTCTTAGGCAGGTCAGATAGCTGTATATGGGATACTCTCCTGGAATGCAAAGGACCAATGCACTAAAATATGCTGTCTAAGGAATTGGTGACTTAATCATTCTTTCACAAATTCCGGGCAAAGAGTAGTATTTGAAAATAGATTTTATTTGTCTCTAAAAAAGCAGAAAAAAAGTTATTGTCATTAGGTTAAATCTTAAATTTAAATGAGAGTGTATAATTAAGGTTCTAATGAAGACCATGCACCTCTTATTTCACAGAACATAAGCATCTCCCTACATTGTATGCCGATTCATTGTTAAAATATCTCTGTAACATCCAGAATCAATGTATGCCAGAGAACTCAGACATCTGTCTGAAAGAATTCTAATTAATCCCAATACTCATTTGAAATTCTCCCTTACAACTGCTTTCAGCTGTATTAACAGCATTTAGTATTTTTTTTAGTAGGGATGACCCAACCTCATGATCCTGTTGATGCAAATTCTGTTTTAACTGAACCATGCAATTTGTCATTAACATGTAAGCTAATAAGAACTTCAAGAGGATAACTAGGATGTTTCATGTTCAGTTGCATATCTTCAAGATCAGAGGAGCAAAAGGTACCTTGAAGGTCAGATTAGATATGCAACTGGTCATGATTTTGTCGTATGCGTTAACCGTTCATTCTGCTCATCTGTCATATCTTACCATTTACCAGGGCATATATAACTCTTAGTTACAAAATAACTATTTGTAAGTTTCTGGCTACATAAAAAAGGCCCAAGAGAAGGGACACCTTGGTCTGGTGATCTTCAAAGGAAATAAAAAAAAATTTCTTGCTGAACTGTGATTCTAATCCAAGTAAACTAAACTGGTATGACTCAATGTGATGAATCATGTAATAATTCCACCAGACTGAGTGTACAGGTTTGTATTTAGATATGGGTATTATTTTGAATATGTGTCTTGGGTTACAATATGTAACCAA